TGCTGCCACTACTGCTTCTCATGATTGTTTGATGGGACTTTAATATTGTATTATTTTTCAGCATAGGCTGGCAAATAATTTTGATTTCGAGGGAGGATCCCCAGGAGTCCTAGGACCACACTTTAAGAAACACTGCTCTAGATGTTCAACAAGCACATGCAAAGCACAATTACAAACAGATGTTTGATTGCATGCAATGAAAAAGAACCACAGCATCAAAGTATTACAAAATACATCACAGGAAGCATCTCACCAAGTTTTCATTTACAATTCCATCACTGGCAGCAAAAAAAGCCAGGATATGTGAAATAAAGTATTTCTCTTCTGGTTTTAGGTTGTCCCAGTGAGGAAGATCCTTTGACAAGTCAACCTTTACAAGAAAGAAGAAACATAGATTACATACTTGATATTGTCATTGTTCACTGATCACTCTGAAACACAAAATAAATGCCTATGGGAATGTAATCCCTATAGCTTCAAACAGGGGCATCCACAGGGGGAGCGGTTTTGATAAAGTTGGCAGCTGTGACCTCATCATCAAAGCCCCACCCCTTTTTACACATCTCAAAATGCAGATTAAAAAGGGGCGGGGCATCAGCCACACACTCTTGCTGCCATCTTGACTTGCTTTTAATTCCCTTTGCAGATTCCCCTGGCTTCTAGCCGCCTTCCCCCATGGGGCATCTCCTAAATGTAATGGATTAGTATCCTCATCATCCTCTGCCAGGACGGTCTGGGGATAACTGGAGTTGCATCCTAATCATCCGGTGGGCGTACACTAGTTTACTAGAGACTTCTCTGCCTAAGTTTACAGATGACCTACTACTACCAGAGAGGGAAAGGCAGTGAACAGACACACTACTCATTGTACGATTTATTTCAGGAATCCCTTCTACCCCTGAACAATATCGCTGCCCTGCTACAAAACAAAAACAAGTAAACACAACCCTCATACATTTCACTCCTCGTGCAAGCAGGTGGTGTAGTTGGTTGTTTGCATGCAATGGTGGCTGCCAATTTATAATGGGAAGTGACTCGTCCTTGAAAGCATGTTACACTGAATGCAAAGGAACTGTGTGTACTAGAATACCAGGCCAGTGAACAGAATTGCTTCTGCGCCTTTGCTTCTGCTGCTTGGCTGCCTTACAGGCTAAATAGCCAAGGGCTGGCAGTCTTTAAGGCTTGAAGGATCTACTGTAGGGTTTGAGTTTCGCCACATGGACCAAGGCGCAAAGTACTTTTTCCGCCAAGATGGAAATAAAGGAATGGACTACTTATGCTCTGGCTAGAAACCTGTGATCGCTACTAGATATTGATCACACTCCTTGCACAAAAAAACTTTTTCACTCCGGTATTCAAGCCCTTTTCCTGTTGCTAGTGTTAGGCTAGGGGTGGGCGATCCACATGCAGCTTCCAGCATCCCATCCGCAACCCCCATAAAAGTTACGGTTGAACATTTCAAGCCTTTACTTTTAAGGTTAGGGGCTAAGGAACAAACTGAATGTTTAAGTCTTGCAGACATCATGGTATCATTGTTCACACCCTGATGGCCCCAAGATAGGACAGAAAGAGGAAATGGAGCCCCCAGACTGACAATGTGGCCCACCCTTGTGTTAGGCCACTGGTCACCTGCTGCAGCTAGCCGTCCATACAACTCACCTCTTCTGCTGTCCAGAAGGAAGCCTGAGCCTGCTTGTACATTTTCCATATATCAGGGTACTGGATTGGGAAGATGACAAATCGATGGGGGTTTTTTCTTAAGAGAGGTTCCTCATTCGATTTTAAGCTATTTTCATCTGAGGACAATTGCTAAAGAAAAAGCAAGAAATCATATATGTGCCATTTTCAACAATACCACAGACCTTCTTTAGCTTTCATCTAAGGAAAACAAGTGGATCCTATCATTCTAAACTTCATAATGATATTAATCTTTCCTTTCTCAATCCAGAAGCTATCCCTGCATGGACTTTCTGAGCTGGTCACATATGGATTCGCTGCAAGACTGTCTTCATGGGGACAATTTAGAACGAGTACTGGAATACAGCTTTCAGGAATTCACTGAGTGTATGCATTGCAGACAAGGATAACAATACCAACAACACTCACCCACAGACTCTGTTGTACGCTTTTAGCATGAGCTTTCTTGTAGCACACTTTGAGGGGACCCTCTTATGTTGCACTGTTAATCCAGGCTTTGCAATCACAACTACCACAGCTTAAAGCATTTGGGGAAATCAAGTCAAACCCAGGTATCTTTGATGCCAGGCTGTCCCATCTAAAAGTTGGAAGCCAGTAATATAGATATACAGAAGATAGCAGCTCTTCTTGGCCATCCAGCTTAGAACAATGTTAACAATCTAAAGCCTAAATAAGCCTCAAACCCCTCAGAGATCATTTCCAGGCTACAGATCTGTAATGTCTTTTATATTCATCCAACCATTGTTGTGCAAAATAACAGTAATGTGGAGAAGCTTTTATGTCATTTCAGTGAAGGCTGGGTGATGCTCTGAAGACATGGGAAGTTGCTACTGCCTGTTGACTTTATACTACTTGTATACCTAACTGTACTGTGTTTTACTTGCAGGCTTACAAATTGCCTACCCACCACAGAATCAGAATTTAAGATTCAGGTGCCTAGCTTTGGGCTAGGCTGGTTGGAGCTCCTTGTTGGGTGTATGATATGTTTGTTATTAGATGGATTTGCCATTTTTCTTACTGTTATCTATATACTACTAAAACTCTCTTTGTGTTTATCTGTTTGCCTGTTTGTACCCTCAAGTTAGCCCAACAGTGCATTATACCACAACAATTTTTGAATCAAGGTACCTAAAATCCGCTAACTTAAAAAAGGTGTAAAAATTCTGGGACCCATTACCCTTGTGGAATTGAAATGTCCACAATGTTCAGAGCAGTTTTATTCACAAAATTTTGTCCGTTGCAGCTTCCTTGGGGTTACGTGATCGTGATTTCTGATGCTCCCTGCCAGCTTCCCACAAGCAAAGTCAATGGGGAAGCCAGCAGAAATCAGAAGTCACTCCTGCTCCCACTGTTTTGCCTGCCCGTGGTCATTCTGTTCATCTGTTGACTTATAATATTGACTTACTACTGAGGTTCACGGGATTGTCCAGCATTGTGCTAAAAAAAATAGGGTCAACATAATATTTAATGTTCATTCTGGTCACATGGTTGCACCACCTTTCTCTCCAAGGAGGACTCATTGGGTCACAAGGCTGTCTAGTTTGCTCTATTTTTTATTGTGTGTTTTGTTTTACACTGTGAGCTGCCCACAGTCAATTTGAGTCAGGTGGTGTCTAAATAAATAAATAAAATATTTCCGATGCCCTTTTTAAATAAAATATGGGACAAATGCATAGCCAATCTCTGACAACGGTGGTATCACACAGCATACCAAAAGACAGGGAAAAAAACACAATTTGGGCAAAGTTCAGCTGCTTCGACTTGGTCAAACATTTTAATTTTTATGCCACCTCTGTAACAATGAAGGAGCATACAGAGATTTGCCAAGTACCTATACAATAACGATGCCTGTTGAAGCAAGATCAATAACCGCTAAATGCTTGACAAACTATAAAAAGTAAGTCTTGACAGCTTTTGTGAACCCGAGCGGATGGAGGCCGCGCAACGTCAGGAAACCATCTTCCCACGAATTGCGCACAGAGGCTCTCAAGGAGGGAGCGGGAATCCCACGCACGCCGGCCACTTTCTCCAACGTGGAGCCCGCCCCACGTGTGGCTGGCCCGATCCCACGCGCTGCATTCAGAAGCGCCACAATGAGCCGATCCCGCCGCAGCTTTGGCCCCGCCTGATCCGACGCGCCTTTACGCCTCGCAAGTTTGTGCCGAAGGAGGCGCCCTCCAAAGGACCTCCGCCGGGCTGCGGGGCTCCCGCTTACCTCGCTGCCTCCCGGCCCAGCTGGCCCGCACGACCCAGGGAAGCAGCCGCGGCGCTCGCCCATGGCGTCCGGCCCGGCTCCTTCCGGCGCCCAGAAGCCAGCGGCGGAGAGGGGCGGGCGCGGAGAGCTCGCCGTTCCTCCGCCTCTTCTCCGCCTCCTCCCGGGGCGAGACTGTGGGCGGCTGCGGAGAGCACGGCGGGAACTGCGCAGTAGATCCAAATTAGAGCCGAGCGAGGCCTATTCCCCAGCCAACTTCCTTGCTTCGGCCTTGCTTCGGAACTTGGTCTCGTTCTTCCCCGCGCGGGCGCTGTGCTGCGTCTCGACGCGACAGCGCATCTGGCGCGTGCCTGGGGGTGTGTGTGTGGCACGAGGATGTCTGCGGGGCTGAGCCTGCTGTTGATGTAGTAGTGGGGGCGGCCTTGCAAGATGGGGTGGGGTGGAGGTGGGAGTTGCCCATTCATAAAATGGCTGCCAGAGACCCATAACCAGATACAGAACAGTGCTTTATCAGCATCCTGCTTGATGCTCCGTCAGGCCCCCTGCCCTGGACTCTCCCACTATCCTCTTCCAGGACACCAGCTTCTAAACCAAGCTGTGGTTTGCAATTACCCAGAATTTTACTTTTTTTAAAGAAGGGGTATCAGGCCCATTTGTGGCCCAGAGCTGCTGTTCTTGGAAATCACCATACTAGTGGAATCTCGTGCTTTGCTTGCACTATGCCAGCTTTCTCTTTTGTTTTATTTTGAATTAAAACTTGTTCAATGTAAAAAGTAAGATGGGGCAGGGACTTTAGTGGGAGCTGAGTGTCAGAAAACGACAGACACGGGTTCGGTTATCCAGTAGACAGAAGTTTTTATTGGG